CCTTAGGTAAAGTTTAGGCCAAGGTTTTAAAGTTTAAATGATTTTTGGGTGATGATTCGAGGTTGCAAGTTAAATTTGGGGTTTAAATTAAATTTAGGGTTTTGATGAATTTTGATTTAGGGTTTTAGCTTTGAGTTTAAGGTTTTAGAGTTTTGAATTTTAAGGTTTAAAGGTTTTATGGTTTGAGATATTTAAGGTTTTGGATTTTAGGGTTTTGAGGATTTAGGATTTAGAGGTTTAGGGTTTATAAATTTTAAGGGTTTAAATTTTAAGGGTTTTAGGGTTTCGATTTTAGGATTAAAAGGTTTAAGGTTTTAGTTTTAAAGTTTAAAGAAAATACGAACTTCTCTAAAAATCTTCAACATTTAGCTAGATTTTTGAAGTAAATTCGGTTTTTATAATTTTTGAAAATTAATTAAAAAATTTTCATATATTTTCTTTTTATAAAAAGTTATTATTAATTTGTTTATTATTTATTATTATTATTTAATAATTCTTCAACATCTAAGCGAAATTATATTTTTAAAGGACGATTTTTATTCCCTCAAGCATCTAGACAAGGAAAAAATTTTATCACTTTATTCTTATTATAATTTTTTTTAGATTTTTTTAGCATTTTTTGGTTATTATTCTCTTTTATTTTTTTAATTTATTTTATTATTGTTTAAAAAAGAATAATAAAAATAAAAAATTTGAAATCATTTTTCATTCTTATTATTGTTATTATTATTTAGTTATTGTTCTTTTATCTATTATATATTATTTAATAAGGTTTGTTTTAAAAATTTTTACAAAATTATCAAAAACCTTAACTTTATTACTTATTATTTATTACTTTTTTTGTTTTATTTATTTAGTTTTTATTTTTGTTAATTGTTTGTTTTAAAAATTTTTACAAAAATATCAAAAACCTTAACTTTATTACTTATTATTTATTACTTTTTTTGTTTTATTTATTTAGTTTTTATTTTTGTTAATTATTATTATAAAACAACAAATATTTATTCTAAAAAAATTAAAGGTTTTAAATATGCATAAATAACAAAAAAACTAAAAATGATATAAATAATATATAATCAAAAAATAAAAAAAAAAATTACTTAAACCGAATCGGTTAACAGTATAGTCAACGTCAATTCAACTAGACCGATAAAAGGGAGATTCAGAGAGCAGTTCAGTTGAACCAGTTCAAGGCTGACTGAAGGGATGGGTCGTCGGGTCAGATCACACGAATTTTGGGTCGGATCTGGATCCACACATGGATCCCTTTTACTTAAAACAACTTCGTTTTAGGCTTTATCTTTTTATATAAAATAAAAAAAATTATTTCATTTTCATCTTTTAGCCCAAAAAAAATTTCCTCTATTTTCCAAAAAATCAAAGCCGGCCAGACTCCAAGATTCCAATCGTTAGGTCATTGTACTGGTCGCCGTTCATCTTGCCATTGGTAACTCGAAAATGCCAAAAGTTTTTGAAAAGTTCTCCTCAATGCCCTTTTTTCAGATTCAGTCTTTTTTTTACCAAGAACAACCTTGATTGACGAAGATCAGGGTTTAAAGTTTCATTTTTTCTCTTTTTCTATAAACTAAAACTAATGTTTTTTTTTTTTTTTGCTTTTTAATGGGTGGGGTTTGATAGGGTTGATGGAAGGGCTTAGCTAGGTGAAAGGTGGTATTGTGTGGGGCAAAAGTGTGGGGATGACTCGGGTGTTTGGTTGGTTGTGTGAAGAGGGACTCGTAGGGTGCATGAAGGCTTGGGGTTTGAGCATGAAAAAGAGCTTAGGTGCCTGAAGGCTGGGACTTTGACGATTGGCACTAGTTTCTTCTACTAGGAGCTAGGTTGTTTCGACGTGAGAGTTTAGGTGTCAGTGTTTGGGTAAGCCAGAATTGGATTGTGAGTGCATAGGGCTTAGGCAAAATGACTGTTGGGAGAGATTTGACATAAGAGAGGAAGCTTGGTCTCATACGGGCGAAGGCTTGGGCACTGGGTATGAAAGTGTAAGGTGCTAAAGTTTTGGTCTCTCACATTTAAAAGCCTGGACACTGGGCATGAAGGTATAGGGTACTAGGGGTGAGAGGAATCGATGCCTAAGGGTCTTTTGACTCAAAGAAGAGTGTAGGGTTTTTAGGAGCTTCAAAAGGTGAAGTAAGTGGTTTGACATGGTATGGATCTTGGTAGTATAAGTTGTGGGTGCCAATAGAATGGGTTGGATAGTTGGGGTAGACACAAGGTATAAGGCTCTGGGTATAGGTTCAATGGTGCCATGTACGACACCACTATATCTTTTTTTAAAAATTTAATTATTATTTTAATATTAATAAATAAAATTTGAAAATAATATTTTCTCTAATAGATTTGAATAAAATTTGATACTTACAATTAAACACATTTCCCATGCTTAAGAAAAATTAAAACAAAATATTTAATAATATTACAAGTTACATAAAAATGGAATTATTTATATAAAAAATTAGAAAAACAAACAAAAGCAAAAAAAAAAAAATCTAAAATCTAATTTTCTCTTTATTTTCTTTTTCCATTCCTTCTGCAGTTCATATCTCTTTGCTTATCAGCTCTTTCTATTTTCTTTCAAACCCCACTTTTCTCTACTCAATCGCCTTTCCCTCACGATTATAGCTCAGATACGTCACATCCGATTACAACTTGACCGAATCTCTCTTTTGCCTACCCTCCTCCCATCCTCATCTCTCATCTTTTAATTTTTTTTTTTTTCATTTGGACGTTTACTCTCTTTCTCTACTAAACCCTATATATATAATTTTTTTACGTTTAAGATAACCCCATTTCATCATTTCATTGGTTGTCTTTAGATTTTTTTTTTCTTTCACCTTCTAATCGCTTATTTCCTGATTACCCTATTTCCTTTCCCTTTTTCTTTTCTTTCTCCTAATGTTTTAACGTTTCTGGAATATTTTTCTTTCTTCAAATTAATATAATAATAAATAAATAATCTATACAACAGCCAATGCAAAGATAACAAATAGCGTGAAATTGAATACTTATTAATTGTCCATTGAACACTATTAATTGAGAGACTACCTTAAATATATTAGTTATAAATAAGACATCATCTATTCCACGTAATGCATTAAAGGGCTTTCTTAAACGGCAAAAATTATTTCCAAATAAGTAAACATCTTCATCTACAAACAATCATCCATTCCAAACAAAGCAAAACCCCTAAATGAATGAAGGAATTACTTCTATAAACATAATTTGTCTTCTACCAATTTTTTTTTTTCAGATGCATTCGTCAATATAAAAATATGCTTTTAAGATTATTTATAAAAAATTAAAATAAAACAAAAATACATCTAATTACATTATAAAAAAAATTAAATATTTTTGAAAAAGCCTCCTAAAAAACAATTAAGAAACGTTTAAGCCAAAGATGTTTGACCATGAAAAATAAACACGTTAGACACTTGAATTATTACCATCGCAAATACAAAAAGATTCTCCATAACTTACTCCTTTCTTTCCATCTACAATACAAAGGTTACAAGCATGCAACAACCGACGAATAATCATGCGGCATTTGAAGGGTTATAAAAAGAACTAATTAATGACAGAGGGATTTAAAAGAAATTTACACTCAAAAGAATTATTCAATGGGAAATTCTATTTGCACCACTGTTTTTCTTTATATATTTTTTGATTTTTTAAAATTTTTTGTAAGTAAAATTATTAAAATATCCTTATTATAAAATTTATTATTTTTATAAATATATTTTTAATAAATTATAATACTTATCGAAAATATACTTTTAAAAAGTCATAACACTTATCAAAAATATATTTATCGAAGTGTTAGAATTCAAAATTTATGAAAATTATATAAAAAAGTAAATTTTATTAAAATTATTTATAAATAAGTGTAATGAAAAAAGTTATTATTAAAGAAAAATAATATTTTATAAGAGTCTAATTAAATTAAAGATAAAATAATAAATATAATTTTTATAAATTTAAAAAATTTCACTTTTTAATAAATATTTTTTTATCAATTAATAAAATTTTATAATATTTTAATTAAACTAAACTCCTTGGAGAATTATCTCTATGTACTTATCACAATGAATTTTTTTAAATAGCATATTAAATTTTGATAAAATTATATAATATTAAATAATATTATTTTATTATCTCTTTATTCATAGGTATGTAATATTGGTTAAGAAAATCTTTAACTTTAAATTAATTCAATTTTTTCAAAATCTTTTCTATTAATTCTCAAATTCGTATTAGGTCGAAGATATAAAAATGATGATTTTTCTTATTTTTCTTACTATTTAAAACATCATAGAAAATTTTAGCAAATATATAATCATCATATTAAGGGACGTTTTGCATATCTAAAATCAAAATAATAAAAATAATAATTTTTTTAATTATAGTTTTTTTATTACATTAATTTATAAATACTTTTAACAATAGTTTCCTTTTTATAATTTTTTATAAAATTTAGCTTTTTTATTTTTAAAAAAACTACTTTCTAGACGTTTTATAGTTTTCTTAAAAATATAATTTCGAAAAATATTATTTTTTAAAAAATAAATTTTTAAAAAGTTATAACTTCCTAAAAATGGTGAATGTCGAAAAGCCTATCTAAATAATTTCACTAAGCAAAAAAAAACAAAAAGGGTCCACTTATAACTCCCGTTAATTAATTAACGGTGACTCTGTAACCCACGCAACAAAGAAAGAGCATTTTCTTTACCTGCATTGATACTACTTCCCAACGCAACCCCACAGTCCCTCTTCAAATTCACATATTGCATCTTCATTTTATTAGGTTTTGAATATTGGGTTTTCTTTTGGGGTTTGGGGTTTCGGTTTTGTGAAATAAGAGTATCTCAAGGAATTATGAGCAGTGCATAACTGTTTTAAGTAGCGGGTTGATTACTTGATTTCGGTTTTTTGTTTTATTTAGGATTTTGGAGGGCAAATAACGAGGAATCAGTCCGTATAGATATGTTTGAAGGTGGTGGAATCCATTTTCTGGTGAGCCTTTTGATTTCGTTGGTGGCTTTTTATTTTTGGGTTGAGAATGGAATCATCAGAATTCTCTGAGAAAAAGCTGTTAACTTTACTATGGTTTCAATGAGATTTTTTTTACTTCGGTCATGATTCCCGGGTCCAGTGGATTATAGTTGACAATAAATAAGTTTCGTTTTGATATGGGAATTTTAATTTGATTATGGATTATGTTGGTAAAGTCTCAGGTTTTGTCCTGGCAGTACAAAAATTAACAGATTCCATGAAAAGCTTTGCACTTTTCTTTCGGTTTTGGTGATATTTAAACATTAAAGAACAAGAAGAGTAAAAAACGGTGATTGAGAAAATGTCATCCATGTCGACAAACAAGAGTAACTGTTCTAGGAGTAGTTCTGCTAGATCAAAACAAAATGCTCGTGTGGCTGCACAAACCCCAATTGATGCCAAGCTACATGTGGACTTTGAAGAATCCAAGAGGCTTTTCGATTACTCTACTTCTATTGACCTCAATATTTCCAGTTCAACCAGTAATGTTCCGTCTTCTACTGTGTCAGCTTACCTTCAAAAGATGCAAAGGGGAAGTCTAATTCAGCCCTTTGGTTGCTTGATTGCCGTTGATGAGCAAACCTTCACGGTTCTTGCTTATAGTGAAAACGCTTCAGAAATGTTGGACTTGGCACCTCATGCTGTTCCAAGCATAGAGCAGCAAGAGGCTCTAACTATTGGAAGTGATGTGAGAACACTATTTAGGTCTCAGGGTGTAACAGCCTTGCAGAAAGCTGCTAATTTCAGGGAAGTTAATCTTCTCAATCCGATATTGATTCATTGTAAAATGTCGGGCAAGCCCTTTTATGCTATTTTGCATAGGATCAATGCTGGACTGGTGATAGATCTAGAACCAGTTAACCCAGCTGATGTGCCAGTAACAGCTGCTGGCGCATTGAAGTCCTATAAGCTGGCAGCCAAAGCCATTTCGAGATTGCAGTCCTTGCCAAGTGGGAACATATCTTTGTTATGTGATGTTTTGGTTAAGGAAGTAAGTGATTTGACAGGTTATGATAGGGTAATGGTTTATAAATTTCATGAAGATGAACATGGGGAGGTTGTTTCGGAAAGCCGTAGACCTGACGTGGAACCTTATCAAGGCTTGCATTACCCAGCTACTGACATACCACAAGCCTCAAGATTCCTTTTCATGAAAAATAAAGTTAGAATGATATGTGATTGTTTTGCCCAACCAGTTAAGGTGATTCAAGACAAGGGATTGGCTCGACCATTAAGTCTTTGTGGATCCACATTAAGATCTCCGCATGGGTGTCATGCACAGTATATGGCAAATATGGGATCAATTGCGTCTCTTGTGATGTCAGTAACTATCAATGAGGATAATGATGCGACAGACAGTGAACATGATAAGGGAAGAAAATTATGGGGATTAGTGGTTTGCCATCACACTAGCCCCAGGTTTGTTCCATTTCCGCTGAGATATGCCTGTGAGATTCTAATTCAAGTATTTGGAGTGCAAATTAACAAGGGAGTGGAGTTGGCTGCCCAAATGAGGGAGAAGCATATTATGCGGACTCAGACTGTGCTTTGTGACATGCTGTTGAGAGATTCTCCAGTAGGAATTGTTACTAAATCTCCAAATGTGATGGATCTTGTTAAGTGTGATGGGGCTGCACTTTATTGCAGACAGAAATTTTGGTTGCTAGGAGTTACCCCTACAGAGGCACAAATCAGAGATATAGCCGAGTGGCTTCTTGAGTACCATAGTGGTGGTACAGGCTTAAGTACTGATAGCCTTATGGAAGCTGGCTATCCAAGTGCTTCAGTTCTTGGGGAGGCAGTTTGTGGGATGGCTGCTGTTAGGATCACTGCTAAAGACTTCTTATTTTGGTTTCGGTCCCATACAGCTAAAGAGATCAAATGGGGTGGTGCAAAGCATGGCCCTGATGACAAGGATGATGGAAGAAAGATGCATCCAAGATCATCATTCAAGGCTTTTCTGGAGGTTGTCAAGTGGCGAAGCCTACCTTGGGAGGATGTAGAAATGGATGCCATTCATTCCTTACAGCTGATATTGAGAGGATCCTTGCAAGATCAGGTTGCTGATGATTCCAAAATGATTGCAAATGTACCATCTGTTGATGAAAGGATTCAGAGGGTGGATGAACTGTGTATTGTCACTAATGAAATGGTCCGCCTGATTGAGACAGCTGCTGTCCCAATCTTTGCTGTTGATTCCTCTTGTAACATAAATGGATGGAACTCTAAAGCAGCAGAACTCACTGGCCTGGCTGTTGAGCAAGCCATTGGCATGCCATTTGCCGATCTTGTTGAGGATGATTCTATTGATATTGTCAAGAACATGCTATCATTAGCCCTAGAAGGTGATGGTCAAATTTATCTTTTGAACTTGCTGCTAATTAGATAATGCTTTTTTATTTCTTGTGTAGAAATTATGTGCATGTTAACTGATTAGTGTATTTCAACATCTGGTTATTTTTGTTTCTTCCTTATATACATCTGGGTAAACTGTGTCACTTACATTTGCATCCATTTGTTTTATATGTTTGTTAACCGTGTCAGCTGCGCAATTGTATGCGGAGTGCCTAGCTGTGTTATTTACCGGAGGCATATTTGTAGCTATATAGATCAAGTATTTGGATTAAGGTATTCTGTATTGTTCAGTATTGGTTGTTTACTTAGTGCTATCATGCTGCTTAGCAGGTTGAATTTTTTCGCACTGCTTTCTGATCTATTTGCTGGCTTATGTGAATAACCCCAAACCATGCATCTCCGTTGAAAAAAGATGGGAGTACAACTTGTTTAGTCATCTAATTTGAATTAGGGTTAGCATGTGTCTTTTTATTTGATCCCTTTGTGATAGACTGTCAGAGAAATGAACTGATATTTATAAATCTTATTCATTTTCTCTTGGCCATGTAATTGAACATTTGCTTTGTTAGATTGTGCTAAATATCACTTGCTTTACGTTTGTCTATTGAGCTCCTTATCTCCTTTTATCTTCCCTTTGCACTAATTTTGCATTTTGTGAATTTATACTGGCTCTCCATGTTGATAACAAAATGGCAGGTATAGAAAAACAAAACGTTGAAATCAAGCTTAGGACTTTTGGGTGTCTGGAAAATAATGGCCCTATCATCTTGGTTGTTAATTCATGTTGTAATCGAGACTTGAAGGAAAATGTCGTTGGAATTTGCTTTGTTGGGCAAGATCTCACTGGCCAAAAGGTGGTCATGAACAAATATACCCGTATCCAAGGTGATTATATTGGTATTATGAGGAGCCCATCTGCTCTTATTCCTCCAATTTTTGTGATTGATGAGCTTGGCCGATGCTTGGAGTGGAATGATGCTATGCAAAAGTTGTCTGGTATGAAGAGGGAAGAAGCCGTTGATAGGATGCTTCTTGGAGAGGTTTTTACAGTGGACAATTTTGGCTGTCGGGTGAAGGATCGAGACACCTTAACCAAACTCAGGATATTATTCAATGGGATAACTGCTGCTGAGGATGCAGATAAATTGTTGTTAGGGTTCTTTGATCGGCAGGGTAAATTTGTTGAAGCATTACTTTCTGCAAACAGAAGGACCGATGTTGAAGGAAGGGTCACTGGCATTTTGTGCTTTTTGCATGTAGCTAGCCCTGAGCTTCAATATGCTTTGCAGGTGCAGAGGATATCTGAACAGGCAGCAGCTAGTAGCCTCAATAAGTTGGCTTACATCCGTCAGGAACTCAGGAAGCCTTTGACGGGGATTGTGTTAGTGCAGGACCTGATGGGGGCTTCTGATTTGAGTAGAGAGCAGAGGCAGCTTCTGAGGACAAGTGTAATGTGTCAGGAACAAATAACCAAGATTGTTGATGACACAGACATTGAAAGTATTGAGGAGTGGTAGGATTGTTTAACATGCCTGTTACCTTAGTTTTTTTATTTTGTTGATTTTGAATGAACATAACTTTGGGTTGTATTTACTATTAATATTTCATGGATTGAAGATTACATTTTTGTATGATGTTGTTTATAAGTTAACGCCCTTCTCTTTCTCTCTCTGTCTTAACAAAAGTTCGCTCCATGTGACACCTATTTGCAGCTACATGGAAACGAACTCTGGGGAGTTTAACCTTGGTGAAGCCTTGGAAGCTGTCTTGAAACAAGTTATGATAATGAGCCAGGAGCGGCAAGTTCAGATTATCGAAGATTTACCTGCTGATGTGTCATCCATATACTTGTATGGAGACAATTTGAGGCTTCAGCAAGTCCTATCAGATTTTTTGACAAATGCCCTCCTCTTCTCTCCTGCATTTGAGGAATCATCAGTGACGTTCAGGGTAACTCCTAGGAAGGAACGTATTGGAATGAAGATACACATTGTTTATCTTGAATTTCGGTAAATATCTATTTCCTACATGCTTTATTATGTTCATAGTAGATGCAGTCTAGCAAGTTATCTTATTAAAAAAGGAGAAAACGTTTAATCACCATATTTGCCCAATGCCTTTTTTCTTTCCTCTTCCTTTTTCTGCAGAAGAAAAAAAAAAGGGGGGGGGAGTGCCTAGAATAGTAGTAAAATTTAGTAGGTGTTGGCAGCATACGCATATCGTCCTTCCTTTTTTATCTGTTGGTTTGTTAAGATATTCATTTCAAAATTTGTGAAGCATATACATCTTCTGAAATATGGTGTAAATGAGATGGTGACAATGTTAATTCTTATTGTATGCATCTATAAGTTGGTACTGGGTAGCATTAATTAGCGTATGTATTCAATGGGTACCGGACATAAGACGGGCCATTTTTACATTCCATCATTTCTTCGTAATGTATGGGTGACAAATACCCACTTGTGGAGGTAGTCTAGAACTGCTGAACTCATTTTAAAATGTGGTGAAACCTATACTGCAATATCGTATTTAATACTATTTGCATTAGATCTATGTTATGCCTGCAGTTCTTTTTATTTTATATAGTTGTTTTATTGTTTATATCCTCAAAATATTGAATCCACTGTTTTTTTTTTTTTCCTCTGCTGAGGTTTCTTTCCTTGTTTGCCTTTGTTTTCCTACCTTGACTGGTCTTGCTTTTCCACCTTGCCGTCAATCATTTTCATGATGCATTTATCATGCTTATGACATGAAGAAATAACAGTTTCAAATTATTTTGAACTTGTGCTGAATATTCAAACATCATTGTTGGCTCTCACATGCGACTTAGAGTGAATGGAGCAATTATATGTCATTTTTCTATATCTCCTCAATAAGATAAAGAATCAAAATAAGGCTGTTGACTTTGAGTGATTAAATCGCAGGATCACTCATCCAGCTCCAGGTATCCCGGAAGATTTAATTCAGGAGATGTTCCACCACAGCCAGGGTGTCTCAAGGGAAGGTCTAGGTCTATACATCAGTCAGAAGCTTGTAAAGATTATGAATGGTACTGTACAGTATCTTAGAGAGGCAGAAAGATCATCCTTCATTATTTTTGTAGAATTCCCATTGGCTCGCCATCTTGGCCACCATTGAAAACCGACGGCCACTGGAATTGTATGAGCAGAGAAACAATGCCACTGCAGCTTCCTCATGAACCGTATCAGTGGGTTGTCATATCAACCAAACAAGTGCCTTCACAGCTCGGGGTCAAGTTGCGGTCACTTTGAGTCTGGATGATACTGGATGCTGCTCAGCCTGTCAAATAGCATTCTCCATTAGAAGTTTATAAAGCAGGTGAAAAGTTTGCAGCAGAGTCAAGGCCTTGGTAACAAAAAAACCTGATAAAAAAATTAGTTGAATTACAACCTTCTTTTATATGGGATACGGAGCGTATATTTCTTGCATTTCAATTCCTTCGACTCAGATAATGTCTAATTGCTTGGGCATATGGCGTCAATATTGCTGCTTTTGATGTATGAGAGTTCGAGTTGGAGAAGTATATATACTGTACGGTGAAACCTCTAGACGATCCATTGACTTGGTAAGAAACTATATTCTAGCTATGGAGGAGAAACAGGTTCAGAAGTCAAAGAGACTTTGGTGGGTAGTCGCTTGGCTCTAATCACTCTGCTGAAATGCGGCAGAACTACTGCTAACATCTTCAAGGCATTGATACTGCAGTTACCAAAATTCTATAAAACCCGTAGTAAGAGTTATCTTTTTGCCAGTTGGACGATCAGATGTCAACATTCGCTGTTCTGGACCATGTTTCCAAATTTGCTGATCTCTCCATTGATGGTATTCCAGTTTGTAAACGGGGGAGGCCTTTCTGTTTGTAAGCAGCTGTAGCATTGTGTTAGTAAACGGCTGTAGGCCTGTTTTGTGTTCGATTTATAAACGGTTATACATTTGCTGTCTGTGAACATCTGTAGGCTTTAGCAGGCTTAGTGTTTGTTCAATGAAACCATTTCATTCATCCTGTTTAAAAGAAGGAAATAAAATGCCCAAAAAAAAAAAGGTTGTAGTGCCATCATCTGGGTTGAGAATTTTTACCTTGTGAATTTGTTTCTCAATGTTACATTGATGCCTTCACTCTTCCTTTTACCTTATGGTAACCCTGTTCGACATGCACTTGAACACTTTTAATTTTTCACGTTTGTGATTGTCAGAAATATATAGCATGGATTTGGAAAGTTCGTAGTAGCCATAAAAAACGCTGATTGTTTTGAATGTCTATAAAGGCGGGCCAGAAGGCATGAACCAGAACCCGAAAGCCCGACAGTCAACTTCGCCATGCTCCGGTCTCTCTTTCCTTCTACTCACACTCATAGGCGTGTTACCTACAACTCGACACTTACTTTCACTTCACTTGCCCCTTCATTTTTTACCCCAGAGCTCACTAACCCATCTCCTCCATCTCCAATAGCATTGGAAACCAACCTTAATCACTACAAATCATCTCAATCTCAACCCTCCTTCCCTCCCTTTTCAGCTTCAAATCTCGAGCTATACGAATCTTTGGTTGCCCGGTACAGAGATTCTCGTAGCTTAACCGACGCAAAAGAGTTTCATTTGCAGGTTTTAAAACATGGGTTTGATGGAGATTTGTTCTTGTCCAACTCCCTCATCAATGTTTATGTAAGAGCTGGTGAATTGATGTCTGCACGAAAAGTGTTCGACGAAATGCCTGAGAGGAATCCAGTTACATGGGCTTGCTTGATTTCTGGGTATAACCAAAATGGGATGCCTAATGAGGCTTGTGGGGTTTTTAAAGAGATGGTTGGTACGGGTTTTTGGCCAACTCATTATGCCTTTGGCAGTGTTCTTCGAGCTTGTCAGGAGCTTGGATCCTATGGGCTTCAAATTGGTTTGCAAATTCATGGGTTGATTTCGAAATCTCAATATTCGTATGATGTAGTTGTTTGTAATGTGCTGATATCGATGTATGGGAGTTGTTTGGGGTGCATTTCTGATGCTCGTCGAGTTTTTGATGACATACAGGTTAAAAATTCAATATCTTGGAACTCTGTTATATCAGTTTATTCACAAAGTAGGGATGCAGTGTCTGCCTTTGAGCTGTTCTCAAGGATGCAAATAGAGGGTATAGGAATCAGTTTCAAGCCTAATGAATATACATTTGGGAGTTTGATAACTGCTGCCTGTTCTTCCTTTGATTATGGTTTCAGTTTGCTTGAACAAGTGCTTTGCAGGATTACAAAATCTGGGTTTCTTTCAGATCTCTATGTGGGTAGTGCTTTGATAAGTGGCTTTGCAAGGTTTGGTTTAACTAACTATGCTATGAAGATTTTTGGGCAGATGAGTAGGAGAAATGCAGTCTCTGTGAATGGCTTGATGGTTGGATTGATAAGGCAGAGATGTGGAGAAGAAGCAGCTGAAGTTTTTATGGAGATGACAAACTTGGTTGATTTAAATTTTGATTCTTACGTTATTCTGTTAAGTTCTTTTGGTGAATTTTCTGTGTTAGAAGAAGGGAGAAGAAAAGGTAGAGAGGTTCATGGATATTTGATTCGTAGGGGCTTAAGTGATGCCGTGGTTGCAATTGGGAATGGACTTATTAACATGTATGCTAAATGTGGTGATATTGCTGCTGCTATTTCTGTTTTCAGACTTATGGTTAATAAAGATTTGGTCTCTTGGAATACCATGATTTCTGGTCTTGACCAGAATGAGTGTTTTGAAGATGCTGTCTCAAGCTTCTGTGCAATGAGAGAAACTGGACTAATGCCTTCAAATTACACTATAATAAGCGCTTTGAGTTCATGTGCAAGCTTGCGCTGGAGCACGCTTGGACAGCAAATACATGGTGAAGGTCTAAAATTGGGACTTGATCTGGATGTTTCAGTTTCAAATGCTCTTCTTGCATTATATGCCAATATCGGATGTCTTTCTGAATGCAAAAACATTTTCTCCTTGATGCTGGACCACGATCAAGTTTCATGGAATTCTGTGGTTGGAGCATTAGCTGATTCGGAGTCTTCAGTTTCGGAAGCTGTTGAATACTTTTTGGACATGAGGCATACTGGGTTGGATCCTAACAGAATAACCTTTATAAACCTTCTTGCGGCAGTATCATCTCTTTCACTCAGCAAATTGAGCCATCAGATACATTCACTAGTAATTAAATACCATCTTGCAAATGACTGTTCTGTGGAGAATGCACTTTTGGCTTGTTATGGAAAATGTGGAGAGATGGATGAATGTGAGAAGATCTTTTCCAGGATGTCTGAGAGAAGAGATGAAGTTAATTGGAATTCCATGATTTCTGGGTATATACATAATGAGCTATTGCACAAAGCTGTGAATTTAGTCTGGTTTATGATGCAGAGGGGTCAGAAACTGGATGGTTTCACCTTTGCCACTGTTCTTAGTGCCTGTGCTTCAGTTGCAACATTAGAGCGAGGCATGGAAGTTCATGCTTGTGCTATAAGAGCTTGTTTAGAATCTGATGTTGTAGTTGGAAGCGCAATTGTTGATATGTACTCCAAATGTGGAAGGATAGATTATGCTTCAAAATTTTTTAATATGATGCCAATAAGGAATGTATACTCTTGGAATTCAATGATATCAGGCCATGCACGTCATGGACATGGAGACAAAGCTCTCAAGCTCTTTACACATATGAAGCTAGAAGGTCAATTGCCAGATCAGGTAACCTTTGTTGGGGTCTTATCAGCTTGTAGCCATGTGGGATTGGTTGATGAAGGATTTACTCATTTCAACTCTATGACAGAAGTGTATGGGTTGGCTCCCAAGATGGAGCACTTTTCATGTATGGTGGATCTCCTTGGGCGGGCCGGTGAACTTGATACGATGGAAGATTTTATCAATAGCATGCCAATGAAGCCTAATGTTCTTATTTGGAGGACAGTCTTAGGGGCTAGCTGCCGAGCAAATGGTCACAAGACAGAGTTGGGTAGGAAGGCTGCTGAGATGCTTTTTGACTTGGAACCTCAAAATGCTGTGAACTATGTTCTTCTTGCTAACATGTATGCTTCTGGGGGAAAGTGGGAAGGTGTAGCTGATGCTAGGGTTGCAATGAGAAAGGCAGCAGCAAAGAAAGAAGCTGGTTGTAGTTGGGTCACAATGAAAGATGGCGTCCATGTATTTGTGGCAGGTGATAAATCACACCCTGATAATGATTTGATCTATGCAAAACTGAAGGAACTTAACAGAAAAATGAGGGATGCTGGATATTTGCCGCAGACAAGGTTTGCATTGTATGACTTGGAACCAGAGAGTAAAGAGGAACTCCTCAGCTACCATAGTGAGAAACTTGCAGTCGCTTTTGTTCTCACACGCAATTCAGAATTACCAATTAGGATAATGAAAAACCTTCGGGTTTGCGGTGACTGCCACATGGCCTTCAAGTATATATCAAAGATTGTAGGTAGGCTAATTATATTACGGGATTCGAACAGATTTCATCATTTTAATGATGGTAAGTGTTCATGTGGGGATTACTGGTGACTGACTTGTCAGGCTTGATTTGTCCTTGGAGGATTTTGGCATTGCATGCTGAAGCTCAACACTTGGGAGGATTTGGTGAATATCATGAAGTTGGTTTATTCTGCCTATGAAGAGTCCATACCTGAATTTGATATGTGCTGAATATTTAACAGTTTCTAAGAAACTGTTGAAATACAAATTAGTTCGATGGTTCACTATTGGTTGGATCAGCATGGAGAGTTCAAAGCAAAGTTTATTACATTGTAGTCACTTGGAGGGAATAGAGGGTTTGAACTCCCTTTAGATAAGGACATTGCTCTGCCTTTCATACCTAGCATCCCAACTATTACAAAACGTTGGTGATTGCTTTCTTGCTCATACTATGATAGTGAGTTTTATCACTCTTTGGACACATTCTTGAAAAGAATTCTGAGTAGACATTTTTACAACCATTCGTTCAGCGGTTATATTGTTTATGAAAGAGGGAAATATTTCTTTTTAGCCCTTGAATGTTCGAGCTAAATTTTAAAATGTGTTTTTGGTTTTGCAGATCAAATATTGGTTTTGACTTCAGAAGCCAAGCCAGAGAATGAATGCTGTATGTGCACATCAAAACATGCTTACATGCATGAAGTATTCTTACACCTTATGGCTTCAAAGTATTACAACATGAGCTTGTGCTGTCCATGGAATAAGCAAAATAAGAAATGACAAATGGAGCATACCTTCTGAGAGATGCTGTAAGAAGATGGATAGTATGTTTCTTGTGATCAGGATCAAGGGATTTGAATATTCAGGATATTTCTTATAGTGAAGAATGACTATCAAATCCAGAAAATTTTTCTGTTTTCATGGTGATTGGAGAGTTCCTTGCTTCCCATGGAGGACCGAAATGTTGAAAGCAGTACCAAGGAATGTGCTCGAACATTTCATTATCTTACTGCAACTACCTTTACAAAATTGTTGATTACCCAGGAACATCTAAAATTATGTGCATAGAGAACTCGCCAGAGTGTTTGATCATGTTGGGAATATGCTAGCTTGTGCAGCAAACGATATTTGTGAATCTTAGGTTTGGTGATTTGGTGGCTGGTGGCTAGTAAATGCAGTTGAAGCTTGCTCATCCAAAGATTTTTCCCACATTTAGAAAATGAAATTCAATGGTGATGAGGACACTGGAAAGATAAGTAATTGCTGATGTTAATAATCTTGGACTTTGAACACTGCTAATGTAATAGAGGTGGTAATGTACAATTTTTTGTATCATTCTTCACATGCGATTCCAGGTTTCTGGGTGGTTACTTTTTCTTAATTGAAATTTTACCTTGATATGAAAGGTTGCTCGAGATTGGATTTCCTTGACCTATAATGATGCGGGGAAGGGCCCGACGCCAACAATTTCTTGGAGAGTTAACCTTTTAATGCAATATTCATTCTTCACCTTCCTCTATTCCTGGATAAAACAATCAATGCTAGTGGTTGCTAAACTTTCATGCATAAAAAGCTGCTTTTAAGTACTAATGTTGTCCCTTTGAAATGCATTTTACATTGCAACTAAGTCGATTGTCTCATTTGATTATAAATATAGAATAATCTACTCAGCATAAATAATTTGCTTTGAGTGTTGCACGGAATTAACCGCATGTTTCACTTTGCTTTTATATATAGCAAGTTGTGGGGTGACAACACTATAGTTTGCAAAAACCGTAAATATGAAAATAATGGCAAAGAATAAAAACCAGTGTCAAGGTCATCTAACTGATTGATGTTTATATTAGTTACTGTTTCTGAAACGTTATTATGCAGCCGCCTCCAATTGTGTGAAAACAGTGACTGCAATAGCAACATTTCATGCAAAGCAAGATGGAATATGAAGACCAATAAAACCATGCAATTTGCTTTAGCCGGACATGACAGGTTAGCTGAAATCTTAGGTGGGCATCTAAAAATAATATCATGCATCCATGATCTCTTAGTAGCTCTCCATTCATCTGATCCAAAGTACAAATTATGTTTGTCATTTTTTATTTGTATTATGATGGCTTGCTTCATTGAGGAATTAACATGGCAATTGCATTGTTTTGTTGCCATTCAGCTGTATAACTCCATACAGGTAAGAAGATGAGAAAGTAACCTTCGAAGGATCATGCTAGCGTAAAAGGGTTTACGTAATTCAACTTGTATGTATCATCTTATATCCATTTTGTACTTAAAAATGAAGTGAACTTCCCACACTATGCTCTGTCTCGTATGTTTGAGAAAAGAATCTTGTAGGGTTGATGGCTCAACCATTTTAGAACAATTGTTTAGTCAAATTGTGGATGATAAGGGCTTGCATTTAGCCATAACATGCTAAATGCTGTCATAAATATTCTCATAACTGGACTAGTTTAAGTGACATGTCAATAAATTATTTGATTTCGCTGCATCGGTGTTTGGTAACACCAAAGAGGACACAGGACCGGGTCAAGCACGTTAAAACTCCTGTCTCCCACTGTCCTTGCTTTTAATTTAGCTTAGTTGGAAGTGTTTGGGTCCAAGGAAACCCAAGGGAATGAAAAGTCAATATTGGTTTCATTTTGTCCACTGGTGCCTTGTGTTTTTTATCCTACTTTTTATTTCATTCTCTGTTTGTTTTCTTCTAATTATTGTGTTTCATGTGCAAAGGGCAAAAGGCTTGCTTTCTTTCTTGACAAAAAAGACGCACTATGATCCTGCAGCTCCGAATGGGACCCTTAGAAACCATATAGATATCACCAAGGAGAGAATCTGTTAGTAAGAGATGTTAATTTATTGCTTGGTTGATGCTGATGCTTATATGGTGGTGGGGTTAGTCTCTTTCTTTTTTTTTGTTTCATTTTCAGGTGGAAGAATGCTTTAAGTAAAAATTTCTCTTCAGGATTTGAGGATCTAGAAGTTTGACGGGGAGGTTGTCCCATTTTGCCTTCTTAAATGGCTTGAAGAGAAATTGCAACGGATTGACAACCCTCTCTAATTTGGGTTGGAAATCAGAAGATTGAGCAGCTCATTGTGTGGTTAAAACATGTTCTTAAGATATTCAGAATCTTCTAGTCTACCTGCTCCCGGGCTTGTTCCTATGTGTGGAATAATCCCTTGGAAAGTGATAGAGCCTTTTGAAGTCAGATTGCTGTCCTCTTTTTTTGCCCTTTAGACGGATTGGAACAGGACGAATTCAAACTTTGGACTTTCCTGTTCAAGGAATTATGTAGCTATGTATTAGATTATTGATGAAAAATTATTTAATATACTGTTTTAAGAATTTTTTAACTCTGAAGATAAATGCAAGACTAACGTATATTTCAATTTTTAATTAATTTTTATTTTTTATTATACTTTAAAAGGAATATATCATCGCGCTTTTTAAATCTAAAAATGTTATTGTCATTGATTATTTCTCGTGCTTATAAACCCCACAGTCGGCACTCAGCAAATGGTTTAAAACTTAAAAAAAAAAAATTTTTGATGGATCATAATTAATTAGCTTGTCGATGAACCAGAACTTGAAACCAAACTGTAAGATAGTCTTCAACAGATCTACTCCAACAACTTAATCAAATTTTTTTAAACAGCAAGTTTCATTAACATTATCAGATGCCAACACATTATTGTTTACATCGGAAATCATTTCAACACGGCGAATAGTTTACATAAACCAAAATTTTAAAGAAAACTCAGAAATCAAATTTCTGGGAACAAAAAAGAACTACAGGAAAGCAGGTATGTATGAGTGCAAATTATTGTGAAGTTAGGGGCTTTCTAAGAGATAAGCAAAAGAAACAAAACAAGTTACAGAAATCTATAACTATAACTAGGTTGATGCTTAGAGTACCCTCGATTGCGTCAAATTCTGTTATTGAACCATAATCAGTTGCTGGGCTTCTAATTGAATTCCTTCTTTAATTTTTCTAATAAAATCTTCACATTTCTTGTTTAACTCTTCATTACTCATCAACCCAAGTTCTTCATCTTCGTCTTCCTCAACTGAAACAAGCTCATTTCTATCTTCTTCACCTGCATCTTTTACTACCAAGGGCACATGTTCTCTTCCTTGAAGCAGGGTCAAATCTTGATCAACTTCTGGAATAACTTTTGCATTTACAATAGCTTTCGGCTCTGGTGATTTAGCGTGTAATTCTCTTTCACTACCTTCCTTACTCTTGAGAGTCTTTTCAGCTTTAAAATCAGTCTCCATCGAAGAACTACCGATCAAACCAGAGCTGGTGACAATGAAAACAAGAAGTCCATTGCAAAGTAGAAACATGTAATTCTTACCAACATTGAAACTAAAGAGCTGTAAACCATATGCTAAAACATGGAAGTTGCACAACAAAGGGTAGGATATTATAACAGAAAGGACTGAAAAAGGGAGCAAAATTTTGGTGACTAGCTTCAGAAAATGAGAACTGCTGATCAATTGAATCGGAGTATGGATTTGTTTGTAAATATTCTCCATACTTTCTTTCTTCTCTTTTCAGCTATAGAAAGGAGCTGGAGAGAGAGATATAAAGAGCTTCAGCAGTGGCAGAGAGATGCTTTTGAGCTTAGATTAATAGCATTAGCTGAAGGGAAATGGGGCAAAAGCTTTACTTATATAAGAAGAGATGGAAGCTAATTCCTTGAACTTACCCCTAGTCAACCACTTTTTTAAGCTATTTCAAAATTTTTAATAAAATAATTCGCAATCTCGGAATATGATTAATTTTGTAATGACTGATGACTAACTAATAAGAAGACCAAGACTAATATAATTTTGGATATATTTAATCTCTGATCTACCATCCCTTTGGCTTGTAAAATATAATATAAAGAAAAAAAAAATTGAACTACCACTTTTTGTCTTACAGCCTTTAGAATGGAACAGTGTTTTTAACATTGATATTGATAGCTATAATTAATTAGATTCTCAATTTTTTTAAAATTTTCTACCCTCTGAAAAATGTATTAATCGAAATTTTATATCAATTTAATAGTAACCAAAATCTATTAATTCCAGCTATTAGTGTTTAAATCTCTGTTAATTTTGAATATTAAAGGGGAAAAGCATTGAGTTTCTAAAAAAATGGATTCAATTTTTGAGATACAGGTTATATTTAATTCACTATAAAATTATATACAAAAAAAAAATGAATGATAAATTTAATTTACTTCACTAAATTTGGGGTTTATTTATAAAAAAATTAAAACTTTTTTATGAGAATAATACAATACCGTGTCCTGTAATGAATATACCGTTAAGACATTAAATTTTAAACTAGAGTTTTATAATATTGTTATCGTAATTCATTGATACATACAAGTTATTTAATGAGAAAATTGGTGGCAGAACTTAAGATTTGAGTTGTAAACAAGTTATGATCAGACTATTAAAACAGCAAGTGTAGTTTTAAATGGTTCATTTAATTGCCAATTTTTTTAGTTAAAATGGCCTTTTCTCCGGATGGTAGGTCTTTAAATTTGGCCTTCATGGTAGGCCTATGGGCATTCGCTATAGTACCTTCATAATTTGAGTTCTGGAAGGTGTAGATCTTTAAGTTTCACATTTGGGGTAACAGTAATTCTCAAACGGCTCCATCTCTGTATTTCCAACAAATTTTTCTTGAATTTAAAAGACAACCAAATTCATAAATGGCATCTCAAAAAATTCATGAATGTTTCTAGCATAGTGAATTATTGTAGTATATATTAAATGATTTTTTTTAATACATTAGAAAATTATGTTATGTTCTCCTTGGTACGTGAGAAAATTAAAATGTCATATCTATATGAATAATGAAGTATCCAAGAAAATATATAATCATATATATATATATTAAAATAAATTGAAGACTCATGTATCATATATAAAATATAAAATAGCACTTTTCAAACCATGCCCTGAGTTCCAGTCAAAGAAATGATATATCATATATTAGATGCTATCAAACAATGTCCTATGTCATCTTAACCAATAATATAAAAGAAAATGAGACCCTATATAACAAAATTTGCGTTCAAATACCTAATATAATTGGGTTTAATTAAAAAATGAAAAAGAAAAAAGAATAATTTCTTCGAATTTCCTCATAGGAAGGTTGATCACGGTTCTTAGGGCACAATGACTTCGGGTCAACGAGACTGATTGGCTTGGAAAGCCAGGGACCCCACCCTTTCTAGCTTTTGTCGGGGCATGCTATGGTAGGTCAACTCGGTCAGCTTTAAATTATATACATGTTTGTTCACACATTACGCGGTTTGGTTTCTGAGGGCCTCGCTCTACCAAACTTACTAAACTGCTTACCAAAGTTAAATTATTTTAACCATCATCCTTTTAAGATGGGTAAGAAAAAATTTTTGCAGTTGCCAACGCGCTACCACCATTCATGATATAACGTCTCAACTGTTAGAACTTGAGTTTTTTTTTTTTTTTATATATAAAGGAGGTCAAGTGTTACCATCGTATACGAAATAATTTTTTACATAATCTGCGACGCATCTTAACATATATACTTGAGACGGTCAATTAATAATATTATATATATATACAAATAATATATTAATAAAAAGCAATCAACTTATAAAATTATAACATAGAAATATTAGTATTATAGCATTAAACTTTTAAGAATAATAAGAGTTTTAAATTAATGATAAAATTACTAATTACACTATTTTTCAATGAATTATTAAAATTTTTTTTAGAAATTTAAAATTAAAATAAAAGAATATAAATAAATTAATCATTAAATAATATATTTTTATCAAAACAAAAAAATAAATGTAATTTTAAAAGAATGAAATTTAAACTTTGAGATTGGAAATTATGATTTCTTTTTTTTTTTTTGTTACCAATGGGATAGAGTCCTGCATTAAAAAGGAAGGAAGGTGTCTTCTTAATGTTTTCTTGACCACTAGATCAAGAAACTGAATATATGATTTTTTTTCTTAACTTTCTATGAAGCGGTTCCAATTTTTTTTTTTTGGTTGAAAAAAAAAATTTAAGATAACATGAGATAAAGATTTAAAATAAAATTAAAAATAAAAATTATAGGTAAAGAGATATTGTAATAAGGTCGAAAGAAAAGAAAAACACATATTTAATACTTAGTTTGAGATTTGAAATCTTGTTGAGAAAGTTAAAAAATTAATTTAATTTTTGTTAACTTTATATGATTGTGATTTAAAATTTATTACAAATCTCTAGTTTGATTTTAAGAATTTATAAATAATGATTTATGAATACAATAAATAGAAGCATAATAATATAATTTTAATACTTTTTAAATTAAAATAACTCATAAAATTAAATTTTAAAATCACAAAAAAATGTAGTAATTTTAATTTAAAAAATTAAATTAAATTAAATTAAATTTAATATATATATCCGAAGGACTTTTAAAAACTTTGGAGGGCTTTGGCCCTCTCTAGCTATAATGAGGAACCGTCTTTGTATATGACATTTCAATTGTTAGAATTTGTAATATTTATTTTTATATAAAAATATCGTAATTTGAGGATAGAAAAAAATATAAATAATACTATTTGAATTTTAAATTTATTGAATTTCGTTACTTAAAAATAATTTTATAAATCAATTAGATTAACTCTTAAGATCAATTTATGATATTTATTATTTAGTGTAAAATGTTACTATTTTTCATAAATAAAAAAAATTTAGAAAAAATAATAAAAAATTAGCAAAAATTTTAATTTTGATTACTGAAATTAAAATTTTAACATTTTATAAATAAATTTCACGATTATTACAAAGGTCAAAGCTTAAGGATTTATTTTTTCTCTCCACTAAATTTCCCTGTTAAAAAAAAAAACAGAAAAACAAAAGGAGACAATACAATTTATAAGTTTCAATATAATGGCAAGTTAAATATTAGACAGGGAAGTTTACATATGTGGATTGAAGATCGCATTTTGCAGTACTGATCGCCTAAATTGTTATGTGAAATGAAAATTTAAGAATAAAAATTTCCCTGGTTCAATTTAGGGTTAGAAAATGTAAAACCTAAGAATATTCTAGCAGGTAGCAGTGTAGAATTATTATCTGATTTTGACCCAATCAAAAGTAGAAAGGACGTAACAATAATATTATAGTTGTAGTTGATTGATTCTTTGCCTACTGCTGCTGCTTCTGTTTTCAAGTATCCAAGCTTGACCATGTCAACCTAACTCAATTCAGTTTGCTACTGTAAAGTCACCTCGTAATTTACTGAAACTTTTCTTTCCCGAAGAATAAATCATTGCACACGGTAAAGGTCGAAAAATTGACTAGAATTTCTCTATTTTTTCTTGGTCTAAAAAGAATATACACGTTTTATTCAATATGTGCATCATGGGTCGTTTTTACTTTTAGCGACATAATATGATTTATTTTTTGTTTGGTGAAGTCGTGTGACATGAGAACAATCTAGTAATTCGCTTTTGAATTTTTGCTCGATTTGGATACTTTTTTAGATCTTTTAAATAAATCTAGTTTATTTTTCTATTGTTTTCAATTGAACTCTTAAAATATTATTTTTGTTAATTAAATTATTATTTTTCAAACGAATTTTATTCGTGTTTATGCAAAATAAAATTTTAATTAAATAAAAATAATATTTAAAGTACTCACTTAGACATACAATTAGATATATTTATAGATTGGGTCTTGTTTGGGTCAAGCTTAAACACAATAACATCTTACAGACTTATTCAAGTTCAATCTAGCTTGATAATTTGGGTTTCAAATTTTACATAAAGCAATCTAGATTATTAAATAATACAATCTAAATTCATCAAATTATTTTTTAAAATATAATATTATTTTTTTATTAAATTTTAAAATATGAATAACTTAATATAATATATATAAAAAATTTAAAAATTTACTTACATCGGTAAAAGTGTTAAGTCTTTTTTTTACTCTTAGATTAAAATAAAATTCATAACACTTATCCTTAGTCATTTTGATTCAAAACTAAAAAAAAGCATAATATTTACGCTAATGTATCAATAGAGATGTTCATGGGCTAGACTAAACACATATTTAATATTAATAGATTATATACTGTTCAAATCCAAACTGGCCCATATTTTAGGTTTTAAAATTTTCTTAAGTTTTACCCAAATTAAAAAATAAATCTCAAACATATCAATTAAACTTAATTTATATAATAAAAAATTAAATTTTTTTAAAAAATAAATATAAAAATAAAATTTCATATGAAATTTTATTTTTATAGTGTATATATATATATATATATATACCTATATAATTATAATATTTTATATATTTCCTTTGAACCAAGCCGAATTGGTATTAAGTTTTAATTTTTTTTTTTAAGATCTAGTTTGAAATAGATTTAAAATTTTTATCAAATTTATTTAATGAATTTTAATTTTTTATTTAATCAATTTCAAAATATAAACGAACATTTGAATTTACGTGAATAATTTGATCTTTGAATAAATTTATTAAATAAATCTCTCTTAAAAAAACAATATATATTATATAATTAAAAAAAAAAACTGGATAAACTGAGTTTAAAATATTAAAATCAAGGTTCAATCTAACCCGTCTTTTAAATGTACCTATTTTTTTAAATCCAAATCAGTTTAATAAACTTAATATTTATGCCCAAATCCTCTTAAACAGTAGACTGATCTTTTAAGTTTGGAAAAATACAACGACCTTTGGACAAATTTAAATCCGATAAAGAATAAATTTTATTTAATATTTAACCAATAAAAATTCAAAGAAATGGACTTTGTGATCGACAAAGGAATGCAAAGAAAGATGGAGAAGGGGAGTTGATTAAAGAAAAATAATTAAAATGGATCATTTTTTTACTTTAGCATGATAAATATATCCCTCTCTTTATATATATAATAATGACCAAATTTAATCTTCATCTTCAACCTTCCTCAACCTCAACCGAGTTTGGTGTCTTATATTCAAGTTCACTGTTTCATTTCCAATTCATAGAATAAAAATTTTTCCCCTACACTCTTGTAAAATTTAAAGTGGATGAAATTTTTAGATTTTAATGATAAAATTAAAGTTGTCACATATATGTTTTTAGATTATATTAAAATTTATCCATTTAATATTTATATATATATGAAGAACAATTAATGTAAAAATTTTTAATTTTATATTTTTTAATAAATCAAATTGATAAGAGAAATAAATTAAAATTTAATTTTATTTTATTTTTTAAATTTATTAAAATTAATTATTAAAAAATATATAATTAAAAAATTTTCACTTATATAAGTTAATTTATTCTCCATGCATATATATTCTAATTTTATTATTGCATTGTTTTAGATAAATTTATTAATAGTATTTTGTTCTTTTAACCCAACCGAAGAACCGAATCCTCAACGGCCAAGGCCATAGATTATGAAATTGGCGCTTTTACCGCCATTTTATATGTATAAAAAAAATTTAATAAGACCTGATAAGATTAAAAAAATCTAAAAAAATCCTGACCTCACATAGCAGATTTGATTAGCAGTTGAAAAACCCCATTTTCACTTTGCTTAACTTCTCAAGAACTCAAAGGGTAAACTGCCAAAGATATTTTCTAACATTCTTTTCTTAACCCAACTATCTTTGTATGATATAAAAATCCAACAGAAACCTTGTACTCAACATTTCTTTAGTTTTTGTTTGATCAGTTATATTAATTGCATGGCTACACACATTACGCCTTGTTCTTCTTCTTCTTCTTCTTCCTCACTTACCTTTTCTTCTGAATTCAATGTTTGTAAGCCAAGAAAATGTTGTTTCTCCAAACGGGTTTCTCAAGTTCGTCCAAGAATCCTTTCGAGAAACCATTTCCAGATCAAATCCTCAAATGGGCAGCCACTAAATGCTGTTTCTATGCAGGATGGTCAGTCATTTTATTTCAATTTTATTTTGTTTTTTCTTTCATGTTCTGTTTATCTGTTTTGATTGTTATAGTACGCAATGAATTGTCTTTGTGAATGAAACCTACTTTTACTTTAGATAATTGATTTTCTGTTAGTAATGTAATCTGTTGTTTGCAAGTGTTCTTTTGTTGGCATTGGAATTGTGGAAAGAAATACGCTGCTTTTAGCTTTCGAGATTGGAGATATAGAAATATTTCACTTCACCAATGTATGATTTCTGGGAAGTTTTGATGTTGTGTGCTGATATAATTTTAATGAATAATTATCAATTTGTCAAATAAAACAACTTCAACATTTCTTAAAAGATTTGGATTGAATCTGATGGAGCAATAGTTTCTTTTACCATGTATGATACCAATGACATGCTGTGGTGAAAATTTGGACATGTAATCCAAATTGCCATTTCAAAGTATGTTTTGAATTCTGGAAATCATGTGCTTTTTGCCTTCCAACCAGTCTTTTTCCTCATCTAGGAACTTCTTTTGCAATCTTTTCTTCATCAAGTTTGTCCTTTGTTTAGTTTCTCATTTTTTAGCCTTCAAGTGCTCTTTGGATTAGGTATGGATGGAAGGCCTTTGGCCAAAGGAATCAAGCCTGAAGAGGAAGAAGTTTTCTTTGACTTCTCAGACCCAGAGGAAGTACAGTCTACTCTCAGCATAGCTGTTGTTGGAGCTTCAGGGGACCTTGCTAAGAAGAAAATTTTTCCTGCACTTTTTGCCCTTTACTATGAAGATTGTCTTCCTGAGGTAACGCCCTTCATTTCTTCACAGGGTTTCATTTTCTGAAGATAGAATAATTTTCTTTAACCAGAGTCAAGATAATTTATATTTGGCAGAGAGCTAAGTTGTTTTCAATGACTAGTGAGTTTGTATCTTTTTCTTATGTTTTCGCTTGTAATGCAGAACTTTGTGGTTTTTGGTTATGCTCGTACTAAACTGACAGATGAAGAGCTCAGGAACATGATTAGTGGAACTTTAACTTGTAGAATTGATACGAAGTAAGATTAATATCATGTTAAATTAATTTGATTAATCTCTATCACGTTTTATCTAAAAACTTTGTATGCCGTTGTGTTAATTTATTATGTGGTGTCGGGTATGACTTATAGCGAAAATTGTGAAGCTAAAATGGAGCAGTTCTTGAAGAGATGCTTTTACCATTCAGGTCAGTATAATTCTGAGGAGCATTTTGCAGAACTAGATAGCAAGCTGAAAGAGAAAGAGGTAACGTCTTCCTTTGCATTTTTCCTCAGGTTTCTTAACGTCCATTCAACCTTATTCTAATGTTTTCATGTTTAATTTTGCAAGTAGTTTAGGAATGTAATGGTAGTTACAAGAGTTGGAAGGTTTATCACTGCGTACCTCATGGCACTAAGTTTACTATCTCTCTATGGAATAGCATGAAATAAAATTGAGAATGTTAGAATTATCCTTAAGATTTAGAGAAATTTTCTTTTGCAAAATTTTATTCTTTTTAGCATACTAAGTTTGATGTATTTATCTTATAATAGTCTCTGAAACCATTTTATCTTTTAAAAGGTTGAAGTATTGGATTCGAGAGTCAAGCTGAATTATAGCAACAAAAACATTCAATTTGTGATGCCGCATGGTCTTCTTGTTTTAGTCGAGGCACTTTTAGAATGGTGCATTAAGGAAAGGTTTTTCATGTTCGTTCTTTTAGGATTAATACAAGAAGAATTGGTCTAAGAAAAGATTGATTAAGATCTCATACTTAATAAAGTATAATACAGAAGGTTAGACTGCTCTTTTAACTTTTGAATGGTGGCTAAACCCCTTGTATGTTATTGAACTAAAACAAAATACTATCATGTTGGTGAACAAACTGATGGATTTCTTTTTTGCCTACTAAATATACAATGGATGGAAACTGAGTTGCTGGTTCCATCTTAGACTTCTCTCCATCCTAACATTGGAAAATGCTTCTTTCCAGGCTGGAAAACTGTCAAATAGGTTATTTTACTTGTCAGTACCTCCAAACATATTTGTGGATGTGGTGAGATGTGCCAGCCTCAAAGCCTCTTCAGCAAATGGGTGGACAAGGGTCATTGTTGAAAAGCCATTTGGCCGTGATTCAGAGTCCTCTGCTGAGCTAACAAGATGTCTGAAGCGTTATTTAACTGAGGATCAGATCTTCAGGTACATGTTGCTTTATAGTTTTATATAGAAAATTGCAAATTGATAGAACTAAAAGAACAGCTCAATTTTGATAATGCTTTTTTTTAGGATTGACCATTACTTGGGCAAGGAACTTGTTGAGAATCTCTCAGTGCTTCGCTTCTCAAATCTTGTTTTTGAACCTTTGTGGTCAAGGAATTATATCCGCAATGTGCAATTGATATTTTCTGAAGACTTTGGTACTGAAGGACGAGGGGGGTGAGTTGTGTACTCTTCCTTATGTTTTTGTATTTAAAAACATGGTTCTTTCCAAATACCAAGATCACTTAGTGTTTCTTGTTAATTTCAGTTATTTTGATCATTATGGAATCATACGAGATATAATGCAAAATCATCTCCTGCAAATTCTGGCACTGTTTGCAATGGAGACTCCTGTCAGCTTAGATGCTGAGGACATTAGGAATGAAAAGGTATTGTTATTTCCTTTGACGTGATAAGTACCATTGAGAATGTGCTTTGACTTGGTGATTGATTGCTATTTATTTCATTGATTTACTTTCTGTTGTTCTTATATTTCCTAAAACTCTATTTTAAAAATCTGGTACAACATGATGGGAATGGCCCATTTTCAGGTAAAGGTTCTGAGATCAATGAAACAACTGCAGCTCGAGGATGTCATCATTGGTCAGTATAAGGGCCACAACAAGGGCGGTAGAAGATATCCAGGTTATACTGATGACTCAACTGTACCAAATAACAGTATTACGCCTACATTTGCTGCAGCAGCTCTGTTTATAAATAATGCAAGATGGGATGGTGTCCCTTTTCTCATGAAGGCCGGCAAAGCTCTCCATACTAGGCGGTAGGTGGATATTTTTATTTATTGATTTTATATTGAGGGCCTATGCCTTGTAATCATCCCTATAATTGAATGGCCTGAAAAGTTGTGGGTTGAAAATCCAGGGCAGAAATCAGAGTTCAGTTTAGACATGTTCCAGGTAATTTGTACAAGCAGAATTTTGGAACTGATTTGGACAAGGCTACAAATGAGCTTGTGCTGCGCGTGCAACCTGATGAAGCCATTTATCTGAAGATCAATAACAAAGTTCCTGGTCTTGGAATGAGATTAGATCGCAGTGACCTTAATTTGCTTTATCGGGCAAGGTATGGAGATATTCAATATTTTAGTAACTCAATATATATGCTGCTTCAGTTTATTGAACTGCACTTAACTGACATTGGGAGTGTATTATCACTGAGCTTGATGTTGAAACTAAAATGTTCTGCCTATTAAAACAATACTTGCTGCCATATGTTTATCTTCAGTAGCATATACTCATTAGTAAAAACTCATCTAGCTTTCCCTTAAAATCACATGGATTAAATGAACTGATATCTACCAGCCTTCAACTTGAAAAATAAAGATCATTTTTCGACTAGCATGGTCTGAAAACTCATGCAAGTATATCTCATTTTATTTCCTTCAAGCGACATTGATGGCATTAATTTAAAACTTTGGTTCTGATATGAAGGTATTCAAAAGAAATCCCAGATGCATATGAGAGATTGCTCTTAGATGCTATAGCAGGGGAACGAAGGTTGTTCATTAGAAGTGATGAGCTAGATGCTGCTTGGTCACTGTTTACACCATTGCTAAAAGAACTCGAAGTAAAAAAGATTGCTCCAGAACTGTACCCGTATGGGAGCAGAGGACCAGTTGGAGCACATTATCTTGCGGCCAAGTACAATGTTCGATGGGGTGATCTCAGCGGAGAAGACTCATAAGCATAATGGTGCCAAAAGTTTTGAACAATCTAATTTTGTCTACTCATGAACCATGACAGGGCTCATTATATCACCCACAGTTGTTCCATTTAAGTGCATCATGTGTTTTTAGGTGGGTGATTTTCTTTGTTTTGTTGATTTGTGAAAGTACAGATAATTGAATGGCAAAGTGATTCTACATTTGCAAACAATTCGTGTGTAAATTGACTTGGTTTCAAATCAATGAACGGATTGATTTTAGTCTTCTTGGAGTGTTTCACGCATTTGTAAGGCAAAGTTTTGCTTTTGCTTTCCACAAAAGGAAAGCAATTCCTTGCTACAAACGAGTACATGCATTCAAGTGATATTCACAAGTTTGAGTCACTTTTATTTTTCTTTCTTTTAGTAACTTTCTTTGTTTTGTTTGTCTCACCTTTTAACTTTATATGGATGTTTCGAGGTTAGCTTTATTTCTTCTTTTTTTTTTTTTTTTTTGTTTTCGGGTTCACTGTGTAGAATGACAGAATAAATTCTTCAGGCAATCAACGTTTAACATCAATGACCAAATTTGTTAGACTTAAGCTTTGTTTGGCAGGAATGTTAGACTTTGTTATTGAAGTAAATATTTTTTCCATTCTTTTTCCATTTCTATTTCTTTTACTATCAAGCAAAATCCAGTAAAACTTTTTCGCAATGTTTGGTAAAAAAGGAAAGAAAATTGGAAAAAAGGAAAAAAGTAAGAAAAAAAAGAAAGTAATTCCTCTTGCATTGTATTTGATATAAAGGATGAAAAATAAAAGAAAAAAAATTAAGGATAAAGTTGTAAATAAAATTATTAATTTCAGTTGTATAAGTATTTTCTTCGAACATTTGAAATGATTGGATTTCAAGGAAAGAAAAATAGAAAAAAAAAAAAAGGAAAAAAGTGAAAAATGGAAAGAAAGTTATTTCTCTTTCATTGTATTTGATATAAAGGATGAAAAATAAAGAAAAACACTAAGGGTACAATTATAAATAAAATTATTAATTTAAGTTATATAAAAATTTTCCTCTTAACATTTGAAAAGATTGAATTTGAAAGAAAGAGATATGCAAAATCCATTTATTACATAATTCTTCTTTTCTCCTTCCCTTCTACCAAACACAATTTTAATCACAAGCTACAATAATTTTCACCTCCAAATAAGTTTACCCAAATCAAATTAACTACCTAAAAACCTTAGAAAAATGATTTCATGCATGGGTGGTTTAAGTTAATTAATAATTACCGCATGTTCATTAAACAATTAAAAAAAAGTACTAATAAGTTACACTCTATTAATAAATAAAGTTATTACATGTTTATTAATAAATATTTCAATCTCAAATTTTTTTTGTGAAGTTAGAATTTCATCTTAATATATAAAATAATAATCTAAAATATAAAAAACTAACAATATATTCAGAATAGAAGTTAAAAGGATTAGAGGCTTGAATTTAACATATTACTATTTTATAATAAATAATTACTATTTTTTACTTTAAGTTAATAAATCTTATCGTGTGTGAGGGGAAACAAGATTTATTGTATTTGAATTTGTTTTGAGAAAAATAAAAAATTCAACAATTTCATTTTTCAAAGAATAATTTTACTTTTTTCAAAGGAAAAACTATGGAAAAAGTCTAAATCAAGTACCTAATGTCATATGTATATGAAATTCGTATAATTGTGTATATAGTCATCCTCTATACAAAATTAGATTAAAAGAATACAACATTTTTACAAAATTAAGATTTCATTCATACATACATATATATGATGTTTTCAAATTTTATGTAATACCACGAATTTCTTGAGCAAATTATTCTATAATGTTTTGAAAAGAACGAAGTTCCCAACTTGCGAAGCAGGCACTTTGCTGCAAAAATATTCCCTTTTTGTGGGCTAAGCAGGAAGAAATGGGCCTGCAATTCAGTCATCTTCAACACGCCGATCATTGTTTCTCCGTTTGTCTTATCAACGTCTAGTCGAAATGAGAACAAATAAATGGCGAGATTAATTTTAGTAAGCTTAAAAATAATGATAAATGTAAAATTAATTATTATAATAATAAAATTAAAATTAATTATATTTAAATATATATATACAACGAAAATGATGAAATAAATTATAATAAAAAAATCATTGAAAATATTAAATTAAAAATTATATATAATAATATTTTATCGTTTTAATAATTACAAGGACATAAAAAAAAAATGGTGCAAATTTATTCACTGCTTCTAAAAGCTTCAGTTGAAAAAAGCAGCCCATTGAGCCCGGCGATCAAATCCCAACAACACTTTGATGCGATTTACGCTGTTTTTTATGCAAAAAGTGATCTCGCTGGAGCTACGTTTGAATCCAAACTAGCTCTTAGTGGGAAAAGATTTTTGATGTTGCAACTTGCTGCCCAAACTGGAATTTCCACCTCCTTTAGCTTGGTAATTTTGGTTTCAAAGAATGTAGAATGTACTTAAAAAACAACCATCACAAGAATAATTGTCACTGACCAAAAACCAAGCTTGAATTTCCACAGCTTGTCTACATAGACATATCCAGCATTAACCAAGTAATTTAACAATCTATATTTGCTTTTTCTTTGCTCAGATCAGTACGGATGAGAAATGTCGGCAACCTTTTGCTTTTGTTCCAAATTTCCTCTCTCTTTTGGTGCTTCTTCTCTCTTGTTGATTCTTCTTTAACACCATTACTGTCTGCTTTTAAAACCCTATGCCTGGATGATCAAAGATCAGCCTCGGTGAAGCTTCGTAAGGATTTTCTTGACCAATCCCCCTCTGCCTCTAATTCAAAAATTGGGTCTTGGGATCTGAAAACAGATTCTTGCTCATTGAAGGGTGTCGAGTATGAACCTGTTGGTCCTGTGGTCAAGCTTGACCTTGGCTATAGCGGCCTTTCAGGTCCTCTCAACTCCATCTTTCGTCTCCTTCATTTACAGCCCCTTAATCTTGCTGGCAATAACTGGAGATGATGCCAATCCCAAATGATTTTGATAGGCTAGCTTTTTTTACCCATCTCAACCTTTCACGTTCTTGCTTCTCCTGTTAGGTGACATCAGCAATATCACGTTTGACAAGGTTACAGTCACTTGATCTCTCTTGTCAACGCGATTTTCCTGATTCGTGTTCTAGTAAAAATCATCCAGCACTTGAGCTCAAAAGGCCAAATTTTGAAACATTTGTCCTGAACTGGAGTTCTCTTTTACAACTCTATCTCGATGATGCTGACATCTCTGAACAGAGCACTAGTTTGTGTGAAGCCCTGTCAGGTGCACTTCCTAATCTCCGTAGATTAAGCTGGTCAAACTCTGTTCTCTCAAGTCCTGTTTTTTCCTCCTTCTCAGAGCTTCGTTTCCTGTCCCACCTGAACCTTGACAGGAACAAACTTCATTCGCTACCACCCATGTTGTTTGCTAATTCCCTCATTTGTCTTCTCTCAGCCTATCACATTGCAACCTGAGTGGGAATTTGCCGGATCACATTTTCCAATTGCCAAGACTGAAAAGCCAGGACATTTCAGAAAACCCACTCCTTACAGGCATGTTTACCGAATTTCCCTCTAACAGTACTTTAAAGTTCTTTGACAAACTTTTATGGAAGTTTGCCGGCCTCATTCGGTAAGACGGTAACCTTAGGGGCTTGAAGACTATGTTCTTGCAAGTTTTCTGGTTCAATCCCATCATCACTTGCAAACCTTATCCTCAGGGATGTTGATCTTTCCGAAAATAATTTCAGCGGTTCACTGCCTCCATTTCATAGAGAAGGAGTTATAAATCTTAAAACACTTTACTTGTCTTCCAACCAACTCAATGGAATCGTATTTTCCTCTCTATTTGCACTCCCATCCCCGCAGTCATTGGATCTCTTGAGAAATCTTCTTGTTGGAGAACTTGAAGAGTTTCATAATGCATCTTCTTCGCCATTAACGTATTTAATTATTGAAGGAAACAATCTAAAAGGCCCAATTCCAAGATCAATCATTGAACTTCCAGAGCACAACGTTATTTCACTGGCTTATAACAACTTCACTGGTTCGTTGTAGCTAGGCATATTCTTGAATCTCAAGAGCCTAATCTCTCTTGATCTTTCTGAAACAACTTATCTGTTCAAAATGACAACACAAGCTCTACCATTCCCCGATTAGAGGAACTGAGTTTGAGTTACTGCAACATTAATGAATTCCCAAGTTTCCTTAAAAACACAAAACAGTTCTTGAAATTTCCGTACCTTTCCAACAACAAAACCGTTGGTGACATACCTAGTTGGATATGGAAAACTCTATCAATGTTAGATCTTTCCTTTAACAATGTTGATTTCCCGGACAAACCTTTGTTTGGGGTCGAAAATAGCAGCATGTCAGTCTTCAATGGTGATAAAAACCCTTTCCCGAGGTTATATGAATTGCACATGCGTTCCTGTAAAATAACTAGCTTTCCAGAGTTCCTAATAAGAAACCAAGAAAACCTGTGGTATCTTGACCTTTCAGACAACAAAATCAGGTACCAATACCTAACTGGATTTGGGGGAAGGAATTACTCCACTTGAATCTTTCTCATAACTCCATTCTTGGGAAACATTTTATCTGAACCAGTCCCTTTCCTTGCGTATTCTTGATCTCCAAGCCAACTTGTACAAGGTTTTTTACCTAACGCTATATGCAATTTGAGGCATCTCTTTCTACTTGATAACAACTTTATTGGCCCAATACCAGACTGTTTAGGCAGTATCATTAATCTCTACGGTTTGAATCTAGAAGGAAATGACTTCCACAGCATGTCACTGAATTTTGACCGAGGGACCAAGCTCCTGTCACTCAAACTCAATAGCAATAGTTTAGAAGGGAAGCTGCCAAGATCATTAGCAAATTGTTCCAGGCTAGAGCTTTTGGACCTTGGCAACAATATGATATGTGATAGGTTCCCTTCTTGGTTGAAGAAATTGCCCACATTGAGAGTTCTTGTATTGAGAAAAAATAAATTCTACGGTCCAACAGTTGATCATACTTCAGATGCAAAAATCTTCCCAGTGTTGCAAACAATGGACCTAGCTTCGAACAAGTTTTGGGAGGAACTGTATTGAATTCTTTCTATCTCTTAGGGCAACGATGGTGACTAATGCAAGTGACGGCAGCCAAAATATATTGTAGATGGGTACTATCAGGATTGGTTGGTAATTTATAACAAAGGGAATGAAATTAAGTAGCAAAAATCCTAACTATCTTAACTTGTGTTGATCTCTCCAACGACAGCTTCTATGGGAAAATTCCTGAAGGGATCAGAAATCTCAAAGCACTAATAGTGCTAAACTTGTCTCGAAAAGGATTCACGGGCCGAATCCCATCACTTGGAAGCTTGACTGAACTGGAGTCATTAGACCTCTCACGCAACAAACTCTCAGGAAATTCCTCCTCAACTGACGAGCTGGAATTTTCTTGAAGCAATGTATCTCTCTTACAACCAACTTGAAGGAAGCATACCACTAGGTAACCAATTTAATACATTTTCAAATGACTATTATGAGGGAAACCGTGGATTATGTGGGTCACCATTGATTAGAACATGCAAAAATAATGACAATGATTTGCCACCACCTTTGCACCATGAAGATGATGATTCCTGGAGAAGCAGCTATTTCATTGGAAAACTGTGTTGATGGATATGGGTTTGGACTGATAATTGGGTTTTCTATTGCATATACAACACTGAGCAAGATTGGAGGCAATGGATTATGATTTCTAGAAGGGAAAGGGAGAAATCATGGAACAAGGTCATTGCAGGGCTGCAGGCTACAAGGAAGAAACTAAATTTGGCTTTGTCAACTTAGGAAAAACAGGAAATACTCCTACATAGTCAGGTAATATAGCCACTACTTTAGTTTCAGTTTCTTCTCATACGATTGTTGGTCAAGATGATAACCAATATCTTGTTTGTTGCAGTGAATGTGCTGCTGGGGTTTGGATTTAGCCATGTTAAGGGGTTGCAGCTGCTATTCACTCCATCCATGATGAATGAATCCATTGAAGGGTTTATATTAGACGAATAAAGTGTACACTTTTATCCACGATACAATAATTATAATTTAATGGTACAATAATAAAAGAATCATTCATTTTTAGTGAATTTTTTTAATTTTAGAAGTAAGATTAAAAAAATTATTAAATATTTTTTCATTAATTTATTTTTTAATATATTCTAAAATACATGCACTCTAAGTATTTTAACAATGGAAAATAAGTTTACAATCGAATTGTTAAAAAAATCAAATTTTATTGATATTGAACTTATTTAGCTAAAGATCTATGTAAAAGAGAGTATTTATAGCCGAAGCTCTTATGCTAATAAAGAAATTTAAAAATTAAGCTCTCATTCTAATAAAGAAATTAAAAAATTAAGATAATCGTAAATTATAAAAATTTAAAAAAAAATTGCATAAAATCAGCTCACTATCCAAAAACATAAAAGTCGGGTTCAAACATAAATATATTAGACTCACTTTGTTGTGTTATGGGTACCACAAGTCAAGCTTTATGAGAAATTTTCTTATTGGACTCTATAATCTTCCAAAAAATTTTCGGCCACTTATTTCAAGTCAAAAAAAGCTTAAACCTAAAATGAAAAATGGAAATTTAATTTAAAATTAATTGAAAGTAAATTAAACAATTATATTATATTTATATGATCAGACTATTTCAAGTCTGTTCAATTTAATTAATATGCAATTTCTTTTACCATCATTTTAAAAATGTAGTCTTTATGTCATATAGATCCATTATTTTTATTTGTGAAATTTCGTGTCACATAATATATTTATTTTTTTTGTAAAAAAAATTCAAAAATAAATAAACTGTTCATTTTTTAAAATCAAAATAAAATTTATCGTATTTTATAATTTAAAATAAATTATTAAAATCACGTAATATATTCATTATCGGTATGCAAAGAAGGATATCAAAACGGTGAAAAAAAAAATTCTTATCAATAAATTATGAACTTCATTACTTGACATGTGTGAAATATGTTTAAAGATGTATTAAAAAATAAAGTTGGATCCTGATTCTTATAACACGTGCGTACATTCATCATATACAGCACAAATTTTTCCCAGTAACATCCTACCACCACGTATGGGTCGGCCTCCGATTTCATCAGCAGAACCCAGGTTCTAAAAGAACGAGGAGCTGCTTCAAATTTTTAGAGGCACAAATGGAAGAGCCAAAGCCCAGTCCAACACAATCAATAGAAAAGCCGAAGCAATTAAATGGGCTCACCCTGCCCAACTCCCAAATTTAGACGTTTTAGCTCCTCCGTTACTATAATCTTTTGGGGTGTTCGATTTAAAATAAAAATTGTGGTTAACGTGTAATGTTTTGATTTATTAAGAGTTAAATTAGAAATTCAATTGAATACATTTTATTTTTTATAAGATTTGAACATGAAAATTGATTACATTTTTTGGTATTACTAAAAAGGTAAAATATGAAAAGTTGGAATACTAATTTATTTCATATTCTATTAATTAATTATTTGAAAATAAACATTTAAAAATAAAAAAAATTTGTATTAATTTAAAAGCAAAATATAAAAAGTTAGCATATATAGATATATATATATATATATAGATAGATAGATAGAGAGAGAGAGAGAAAAAAAAAAAAAAAAAAAGAGATCTGCTTATATTAATGTAAGAGTTACAAATTTTTTTTACCTTTTTGATCAAAAGATATATATTATGTATATGCAACCATAGATATCTATGCAATAAATGCATATATTAAATCTTTATATTTTTAAAATTAGTTTAAATAAAGAAATAAATATGAAAAGCTATTATATTAATTTCAATATTTATAAGAATTAATTATTTTTTAATAAATAATATTAATAAAAAGATAAAATATTACAAGTTAGCATACTAAATTAATATTTCATATTTTGTTAATGAATTATTTGAAAACAAGAAAATTAAAAAAAAATGTTCCAATCAATTTTGAAAAATTTTCGTATTTTTCTATCCCTTAATTTATTTCAGTTGGTTGGAAAAAAAAAAAAAAACTATATCGTTATATTAATTTCAATATTTTCAAATTCAATTTATTTCATATAACTTTTCTATATTCTACTATCCATTAAATTTAAGTAAAATGGTACGAACACAAAATATCTTTATTTTTTCATAATTTAGTAATTAGTGATTTAAAAATAATTATTTTAAAAAGAAAATATGAAATTATAAACCAATTTATTTTGAAAAAAATTATTCATATTCTAGTAACCAATTAATATAATTAAAACTACAGGGAGACAGGAGAACAATAAACCGCATTTTATTTTTCTTTATTTAGTTTAATGCCTTAAAGGTTAAAGGAAAAAAAGTATACCCTTAAATTATAATTCAATAATTATTTAAATTTTAATATTTTATTATAATCAATCAAATTTTTAATATTTTTTATTTCAACTTAATTGAATCTTTAAATTGATGAAATCTAATCACGTGATAAAATTTAATCAATTAATCCCTCAATTATAGTTAATTTAATTTTTAGAGGGATCCTAAAGAGATAGAGACATAAAAATTTTTAAAAAAGAAAATATTTTATTTTATTTTTACATATATTAATTATATCACATTACAAATTTCATTTATTTTATTGATGTCATAAAAATTTTATTTTAATTGATAAAAAATTATTAATGATAACTTTTTAATCCAAATAAAAGCTTAATTAGATGCAAATAAATGTTAGAGGGTTAAATGATTGTATTAAAAAAAAAAAGGACTTGGATGATTTTTTTAGTTATAGTTTGGGGGCTTTTTATACCTTTAAGCATGCTTTAATCTACATTTTTTTTTCTACCTTAGGGTCCATTTAGATAGGCAATAAAATTAATTTTGAAGAGATTGAAAATAGTGATAGTGATATTAGTTATTATAGTAATGAGATTAAATACTGTAATGATAAAATTGAAATTAATTGTGCGATATATATTTAGATACAAAACGTAATAGTAAATAAAATGGAACGTAGTAAGAAGAAACATGATCATTAAAAATATTAGATTAAAGTTTGTATGTAATTAAATTTTAAAATATTTGTGATTGATGAAGTTAATAAATAATTAAAAATTATTGAAATTATTTTTATGTCAAATAAAAAAATTTTAATAAATAAAAAATGAATAAAAATGGTGGTAATATATAAATTATTATTTTAAAAATTGATGCTAATATATTTACATAAATTGAATCTTTCACAATGTAATATTTAATTATTTTTTATTTTTTATGTTTATTTATATGATAATTTTTATAAAAAATTAATAATTATTTCAAAAGATAATAATATAATTATCTTATAAAAATGAATTAATATTTAGACTTGATCATTTATGTAAATATTTATTATAGTTAACTCATACTAATTAAAAAGATATTATTTTATTTGATTATAGAATTTATTTATTTATTATGTGTTTATTCCATTTTTAATTATATAATAATTATAAAATTTATTTATTGTATTAAATTAATAAATAATCATAATTATAGTTATAATTATAATTATATGCTGGAGAAGAAAAGTTAAGTACATTTTCATCCCCAATCTCAAAAGCAAGAACAAAAGAAAGAGAGACCTTTTTTGAAAAGATAAGAGGCGGTGTGCAGTAAAAATTCATTTGTACCTTGCCGCCAATGTCATCCGCAAGGATGATTAATTTAGGCGGATGGGTAGAAATTATTTTGATAAGATTAAAAATAATAATTATTATTATTATAATTATGATTAAATAAATTATTATAATTATAATTAAAAAATTTAATAATAAATTTATATTAAATAAATTTTATTAAAATTGATATTTAAATTTAATTAATAATGTTTAAAGTTTAACTACACCTCTAATAGCATCTAAACACCCACTTAATTTGAGATGTTAATCGCATCTCACCAAAAAACAATAATAGGTGATTCAAATGAGGTCTTAAATTAAGTATAAATTAATATGCTTCACTCTAATTTTTACATGCGTAATTCACTCTCGTTAAAAATTTTAAATTTAAGTTAATTAAAAAATATTTAATATTGATTTAAAAAAATTAAAAATTGATCCAAAATTATTATATGGTAAATTAGGTAGTTAACCAAATTATGAAAGTTTGAAAATTCTTCTACCTGATTCGAAGTTCTTCAACCCGCTGGGGATTGCCGTTTGCAAATCTCCAAAACGAAAAAGCACTAAACCCTAGCTAGCTAGCTGTAGTTTTCGGTTTGTGGCAGATGCAGACAGAGCAGAGTAGGGAGGGGAGAGTAGGTCAAGACCCCCTCCGTCTCAAAATCTAAACTTGAAAAGGCAATGAGACAACTTCTACTTTGGGATTTTATCTTCTTGCATAAATCCACGACAAGAACCCTTTTCTCTAATAATAGTGATTT